AAAAAAAAAAAAAAAAAAAAATAATAATTGCTATACAATGTTTTCTATATTTAAATCAAATTTTAGTTAAATAATAAATAATTTAAAAATAATAATTTAATTTCATTAGAAATATAGAACTGTATAGATTAATAAAATTTAAAAAATAAATATAATATACACTACTATTGTTTAGAAAACTCGGCCAAACTTACTATTAAATCGAGAATCTGTCAACTAAGCGGTTTGATTCCCTTGAACGAATTGGTTTACAATGAACCGATCATAATTAGTTGAATGGACTGGTCAATTTTGTATATGTTTTTTAGATAAGTTAATAAATATTTATATTTTTTAATTTAACATAAACATAAATTTAAATATTTTGATATATATAAATCCAAATATATTTGATTTTATATTATTATGTTTTCTATATTTAAAATATTTTTAATTAAATAATAAATATATTTACAAAATAATTATTTAATTTTATTATAATTATAGTGGATGATAAAGAAAATAAAAATATAATTGTAGAGGTTAATAAAATTTAAAAACATAAAATAAAAATTAAAATAATATCAATTACTATTATTTTTAAAATTCGGCTAAAATTTAATATAAAAAATATAAATTATTTAAATTTATATTATTATTATTATCTTAAAAAATTAAATTACAATACAATGGTTTTTATGTTTCAAATATTTTTTTATTAAATAATAAATATATTTAGAAAATAATTCTTTTAAAAAAATTTATAATTATAGTGGTTGATAAAAAATAAAAATATAACTATTGGGGTAAATAAAATTTTAAAAAATTATAGAAAAATAAAAATAATTTCAACTACTATTGTTGCGAAAATTGGGCCAAACTAGCTGGTGAATCGAGAATCGGTCAACTAAACGGTTGGATTCCTTTGAACAAACTGGTTTCCAATGAAGCGGTCAGAATTGATTGATCGGACTGGTCAATTATTTTTTACAGTGTTCACTACCATTTTTATCAATTTAGACGAAAAAAACTTTCTTTCAACAATGTTCACTACCAGTTTATTTTTTAATATAATAATAATAATAATATAAATTTAAATATACTTGACTTTATATATATCAAATATGAGGAAATTGTAAATTTGGTCCTACGGTCGCAATTTTAATCCTAAGGGGTCACTACCATTTTTAATTGTAAACGTTGACTTCATGGCTAGTTAAATTTAGGACCAATTTCACAACAAAAATAAGTTAAGTACTAAAATTGCGCCCATCAGGCATAGTTTTTAAACCCGGCCCGGTGATCGACCCGGGCAGGTCATCGGGTCACCGGTTCAACCGTCGGGTCACCGGGTCAATTGCTGAACCGGATAATTAATTTTAAAATTTTTAAAATTATATATATAGTATTTTTGTTATATAAATATACATAAAAGTAATAAAATTAAATGTTTTGTGTATAAAATTTGTATATTAAAGTGTTAATAATATGAATCTCATGATAAATATTTACCATAAAAACATATATACATAGTTTATTTTTAAAAAATAAAAAAATATAAAAAAATATAAAAAATATATATGGACCGAGTCAACCGGGTTGACCCGGCCGGGTCAATGCCCCGGGTCGACCGGGTCTCGGCCGGGTCGGCCGGGTTTTGACCGGGTTTGACCGAGTCCTTGGTTGCCCGGTCCAAATACTCCACCCGGACAAGTTCCAGCTCCGGGTCGACCCGCCGGGCCGGTCCGGGTCACAAAACAGTGCCCTCAGGACTAAAATTGCGACCGTCCCAAACTAACGGAACCAAAATTATAATTTTCTCTAGTTTTCTGCCTAGTTTTGTCTCCCAAGAATAAAGACCCCTTATAATTTCTCACGATAATTTCAAGAAAAGCAAAAAATGGCCGATCGCCTATGTGAAGAAATCATAATCAACGTTCTCCAAAGGCTGCCCATAAAAATCCTTCTCCGGTGCACCGCCGTCTGCAAATCATGGTATTCTCTCATCACCACCCCTCAGTTTATTTCATCTCACCTGCATTTCGCCGTCTCCGGCGGAAATAAATCCCCTTTTCTTTTCATCAGGCGGTGCCTTGAAAATTCCGAGCGCTATGATTTCATCTTGGATAACAATGACTCTATCACCCCGCATTCTAGTTTGGAATTCCCATTTAGGAGCATAAACCCATTTTTCACAATCGTCGGTGCCTGCAATGGATTGATCTGCCTCTCTGATGATCGCATGTACTACACGCCGACCATCATTCTCTGGAACCCTCTTCTCAAAAAATCGGTTCTTCTTCCCAAACCCGACCCGATCCACAATTTTTGCGGAACTTTTTCACAATCACTTGGCTTCGGGTTCGATCTTATCTCCACTGATTACAAGGTAGTCAGAATAGCGTATGCCGATCACATTAGTGTAAGGCGGCCCCTCGTGGAGCTTTACGAATTAAGCACCCACGAGTGGCGGGATTTGAGCTTCCTAGCGCTCGACCATGTTATATATAGTAAATCACGCTCGGCCTATGTCAATGGGGCCACGCACTGGGTCACCCGCCACGTGGACTCCTATGATTTGGTTTTGTCTTTTCATATGAGTAATGAAGTCTTCAGTGAGGTATTGTTGCCCTGTAGTCTTACAGATGATGATCTTGCTGTGGTTAAGGATTTGCTGGTCTTAAATGATTCGCTTGCTTTAATTCTGTCGAGCATGTCGAGCTTTTGCGTTTGGGTTATGAAAGAGTACGGTGTTCGAGAGTCTTGGAGTAAACACTTGAGCTTCGATTTACGCAGTTTGGGAGAAAGATTGGTGAGGCCGTTGTGGGTCAGGAAAGGAGGTGGGATTTTGGCAGTTTTGGAGGACGGTCGTTTGATTTGTTGCAATCTTGGTGAAGGGAAAGAGAAAGATGAAGAGATTATTAAGGATATTGGAGTTGGTCGCTCGAGATCCGAAGATTATAGGCGCTCGATTCATGTCGATAGTCATGTTGAAAGTTTGGTTCTGTTGGAGAAGGGTATTCTCACTAGTGCCAAGTTATCGACTCTGAAAGTGATGGTAAGTGGTGAAAAGATTTTCTCTTTATAAAATCTATTGCGTTCTTAAGCTGTAAGGATTTGATATATTACGAATTTGGAGAGGTAAAGATTTTGTTCTAATGTTCCTCATGCTTATATATCTTGGTTTCTTTGTATCTGTTGGCTTTATAAAAATTAAACCTGAAAAGTAGACACTTGTTTGCTGTTGAAGCTTGAGATTACTGTCCAAAATAATTCATGACTTGTGTGAATTCCTTTTAATATTTGTTTTTTATTTGAACTCCAATACCATTTACCTTTCTTCTGGTTGACAGGAGATTGATTGGGGGAAGAGAGGTTGAATGGTTATGGGAACTTTCTTGGTGTTGTTGAATATGATGTGTTGGCTATGGTCTACAACCTATTATTCAATGTGGTAGTACTCTAGAGATAAAAGTCATAAATAATTGTAGTTGTGTGCATTATTGCTCATATTGAACATGGAAGCTGAGTATTTTTATCTTGAATTGTTATGATAACTTGTAGTTGTTGGCTATGATCAACAACTTTTGTTCAAAATGCTTGTACTCTATAGATAAAAAGGCATACAAGCAGTAGTTGTGTACTTTATTGCTCTTATTGAACATGGAAGCTAAGGATTTTGAGGGTCTCTTTGTAGTTTGTATGTGTAGTCTTCTACGTGTTGCAATATATAATATGATAGGTGTAATGTTAGCCTGAGATATGATAGGTGTTAATCTAGTAGAGCGATAAGAGGTTATTGTTTGCACAAGCCTCTTTATAACTACTAGTAAAGTGAGATATGATAGGTGTTAATCTAGTAGAGCGATAAGAGGTTAGAGGAAATTGCACCCTCCACTTAAGTATAATATGAAGATATTACATAATTACATCACATATATAATTATTTACAAACTAACTAAATTTGTTAATTTTATTTTCATATATGCATAAAAATCTGTTTTTCATATTTATGGTATTGTTACTGGATAATGGAGGAATTAATGAGAATCCATCGGTTACCAAAAACTGATTTCTTATTTAAATGGTAACTTCCATCAACTACGCCTCTCTCCTCCACACACCTCCTCCACACACGACACTCTCTCTATCTTCTTCGCACAAGTCCGCCGCCACGCCTGGCTTCTCCGTCAAGTACGTCCCCTTTAATGCCGTCCTACACCGAGTCCTACTCCCTGGACGAGATCATCTACCGAGCCATCCCCGCAGTCGTCATCTACATGTAGGCGATGCGAGAATCTTTTTCTATGGAGTCGACGAGAGAGAAGATGAATATATTCCGGAGCATGATTTCCTCAATTACCGTCGGCGACGACGTCCTCTAAAGAGGGTTTCGGCATCTTCACAATCGGGGGAGATGAATGGTTGGTTGCAGAAAATTTGAATTTTGCTTCGATTTTTTAGGGTTTTGGACTGTGTGTAGATTAGTCATTACGTTGAAATTTGTAGACATTGGATTGGAGTATATGTACAGTATATATGACTTGCTTCCTCCCGATGAGTGCAGTATATGTACAGTATATATGTACATGTATATGTAAGTATATATGTACAGTATATGTAAATATATATGTAAGTATATGTACAGTATATGTAAGTATATGATAATATATATGTATTGGTTCTTGAGGGTTGTTTTCAGTGATGAGTGCTCGCTAAAGATTCTGATCGACACCCCCACGTTTTTTTTTCCTGTTAATGAAGAGCGTCTGTCGAAGAATCGATCGACAAACCGACTGTGTTTTTTTTTTCTATTAATGAAGAGCGTCTGCTCGCCGGCGTGTTTTCTTCCTTTTTTCCCATCGGTATAACTGAAGATTATGAATTCAAATTCAAATGTGATATCCTTCCATCTTGAGTCCTGAAATTATGCGCTAGAAACATGGAAGGTTGTTCCATTATCGTGTAACTGATTTTAGGCATGAATCTAATTACTTTTTATCTTTTAGGTATATATACAAATTAATTAGTATGAGTTGTAAAGCTACAATTATTAACAAATTGTGTAGCACAGGTAAAAATTTCCCAAGAGGTTATTGTTTGCACAAGCCTCTTTATAACTACTAGTAAAGTGAATATCTTTGTCGGATTAAGTTTAGTAAAATTAATTAATTAATTTATTATAACGAAATAAAATGTAGACTAAATAAGCTCGTAAAGTATTTTTTCTTTTTACAAAGTAACATAATGATGCTCTAATATATGAAGAATGAAGCAATATGTTACAATCCCAACAAAAAATATAGAAAACGAGTCCCTAATTGAAAAAAATACTAAATAACTAAATAAGAACACTAATAAGGACATAATACATATTATAGATACATTAGTTCTTTTATTTATATTTAATGATTAAAGAGTGGTTTTATTTCATTTTGATTTCGATGTCCTCATAAGAAACATCCATATCCTTTGAAACATAATAAATCACTAGTACCGTAAAATTCTTCTTAATTCGTTTGGCAAAATGTCTACTTTATTCAGACACTTAGAAATATTCTGGCCAAACATATATTCAAACTTCATTATTGTATGATCTTTATAAGGTATTGTAACTAACAGTTTATGAATGTCTTTCTGAAATAATCAATTTTGTCATTAAAATTATTAATATTTTTTTTATCATTGTAGAAACTACTACATTACTTTCTCTCTCCATGTAGACAAGTTGGTATCTAGCCAGTGGAAGTAATTCTCCATGGGGTGGAAATGAATTTCATCTCTAAATAAAAGGTTGACTTTTCTATAATCTTGGTTACATATATTTTTCCCGATGTGCTAAATTATTTTTTGAAATCATGACAATGTACGAAAGTGCATACTGTAATGTAACTGCACGTGTACTCAGGCGCAATACACCAATGAGATTGTAAATATTCCTATCAAAAGGTAACGAATTTGAAAATATTTTGATCAGTCTCCAACATTTTCTTTTCAATTTTATTTATTTGCAAATCATTTCAAAACAATAATTTTATATCATTTCAAATCTTTGTTCTTCAGGTTGATGTGGGGTATAGTTTTGGAAGGCATAGAAGAAAGCAGGTTAGGAAATATGGAATAAAGCATATTCGTGAAGAATAATGGTGAGAGAATATGTGGTTGATATTAAGGAGATGTGTAAAAACATCATGATGTATTTGTCTTGAATTAATTAAATAATAGTAATTAATTAAATATATAAGATAGTATGAGTATTTGTGTATTATTAATTTTTCCAATTAAAATATATCAAAGTAAGTGTATTTAGGTAGTTCACTTTCTCTATTTTAGAGTTGTTTATCATAATATTTTTCATATTCGTTAGGATTTGCAATATTTATGTGTCCAATAACTTCTTTAATATTTTTATTTTCTAACTTTTTGCACCATACATAATGTTTCTAAAATTCAAGATAATTATCTTTTCTTTACTCTTCAACAATGACAAAACAATGAAATAATAGAGAAACATATCATTTGTCAAAATTTTTAAGAGGAGAATAATTAGAATTCTATTATATTATATACTCTTAATCATCTGTGAACTTCATTATTACGAAATCATTATAAAAATCTAAATTATGTATTACAAAGTTTTTTTTAATTATTTATAATTCAAAAGTGATAATATAGGATTATTATTTATGAGAATCAATTCCTTATAAAGTTCATATATTTAAATACTAGGGAAAAAAGTAGTAATTTTAAAAGACTCATGTTTCTAGATATTGGTATTCATACTTTTCTAACAAAATTCAAATTTTTTCTTTTCCCCTTTGCAGTACTATTGTTTTATTTGTTTCTTATTCTATTCAAAAATAATATTTTATTTGTTAAAAGAATTAGTCCGCATTTATATGTATTGGGTCATTTTTTTGTACGAGTTTTATATAATAATAATGTTATCAAAATATTATAATTATTAGGCTACAACTAATATAATCAAACGAGATATAATAATATTTAATATTACTTATTTATTCATTTATCATTATAATATATTTTATAAAAATTCGATACATTTTATAAGATTAAAAAGTTTAGGATTTTTTCCACTGTTTGATCAAATATTAACTAACTAACTCATCTCATATTCACAAAAAATATATGTTACAACCATTATGACGTATCCTATGTGTTTTAAAAAAAACAATTAATTATCATAAATTTAATGATAATTACATTTAATGTGTTATATTTTGTAGTATTATCAACAATTTTCATAATAATTAGTTGCACACAATATTATATATAATGCAAGATTTTTTTATAGATTTAAGGCCCTACTTTTACTACAGAAATAATGAAATTCCAACGGAAATATATTACAATATAATTTCCACGACAATTCTAACGAATATTTCAGTGTTATTACCCCCGTTTGAATTTTTCAATACAAATCATAACAAATATTTCGTTGGAAGGATGTTTATTTAATAGGTCCGTCACACACACCTCCATCTCAAAACATGTAGCATAATGCATCTAACGAAAAGTGTGGAAACATGATTCATAATTTAATCATGCTCCCTATCTAGAAAATAAAATTAAAATAAAGAAACATACATACTGAATTAATTTACAACTCACTAGTTATAATTTAAAGGGGTGAGGTATGATCATTCGAACTTTTCACACTATATAAAGGAGTGAGGTATGATCGTTCGAACTCTGCACACTCTTATATACTTACAAGCTATACAATTACTATTCATCGTCTTCCTCATGGACATACTAACTTGATCGTCGGAGTACATAACTTGTAAAAGAACTTGTTATGATGTCTTTCCACTCGGAAACATGAATCTTTATGTTATGCTGGTGTAAGGTTTTGGATACAAAAGTGTGCATTACAAGAAGTTTTATATTTTATGACGAAAATATTCATCGTAAAAATTCATTTTTCGTCACGAAAAGTATATAACGATAAAATTTTATCGTTGCAGTGTTTGTCATCGTAGGCATCTGTTTTTCATTGAAAAAGAAAAACTATTTTTAGTGACATCAACCTCGTCACTTTTACAATTGGGATTTTGTCATTGAAATTCTTAAATCGTCATTAAAAGTTCGTATTTAAATGACAAAATGATATCTTATTATCTACATTATCCTATAGCGATGAACTTGTCACTTTACTCGAGATTTCGCCACTAGAATATTTAAATTTTCACAAAAAATATTATATTCTAAATGACAAATTAAAATGGTCTTCATCAAAATAGTAACTTATTGCGGCGAATTTCAAGAAAAATAAATAAATTATAGTTTTTGTTTAGCACGATCCACCACAAAATCAGCCTTGGAAAGTGCTTCGACACAAACCAGGGTAATATTTATTAATTTTTCCTATAGTGAGATTGAACCCAAGACTTCTTCTATCTCAAAATGACTTTCCCCACCAAAGTTATATTAATGTATGTGACATTGTTTAATAATTTTCATTTTTATTAACTATTAAATATTACATACATTGGAACTTTTATTGGTTAAATTACTTATGTTATATACAAATCAATNTTTGGTGTTTATTCTTCTTTTGTGAGTTTTATTCTCCATTAGTGGGAATGTTTTTATTAATGTGGGTATGTTTGTGGTAGTCTAGACTTCCCTTTGAGTTGTCCTTTCACTAGATTCAACTGAGTAGCTGTCTGATCTAGATTGTTATCTAGAAATTACGTGTTTTTATCTATAAAAGTGTATCATTTTAAGAAAAACAAATACAATGTATAATTGAATTATTACATTTTAAATAATATGGCTATCTTTTTTAATAAATTTTAAATACAAAGACTATTTTTCACTTCATACTCACACCAAACAACCAGCATCTAAATCCCCCACACCACCAACCAGCGGCCACCGCACCCGTTGAA